CCTCACTGTAGGGATTCTATGAATTCTATGATGTGCCTTGAAAAAATACTATTCCCACTTTAACAAAGGATTTGTTCAGTTTGTATAAGGAACAACCAAAATCAAGACACAGAAAGAGTAGATAAGAAACACAGAAGTTATAGAAATATTCAGGTCTGGCAACATCTGTGGAGAGAAGAGTTTCCCAATCCCACCCAGCCTCAATCCACGACAGGATTTTCTTATCCTCTACCTAACCAACCTCCACACTGATCAATTATCCTCTGCTATTTCCTCTATCTCTAGTACGATGTCACTAGAAACACTTTCCATCATCTGTTCTTCAAAAGTTCAGATAGCACATCTGATCCAGTACTAGGTCAGATAAATGCCTTCTTCCCTTCCCTTGACACCTTCCCATACAGATATATTAGCTGGTACCTCCATTGTTCTCAGCATCAAAGGCCTCAAATTCTTTACTTTGATGAAACAGAAATTCAAGTACTACTTTCAATTTTAGTCATATGAATATTTGATTTATAAAATAGTATCCTTCCAGTGGATTTTTGCACTCAAATTTAGAAAGTTAGTACAAAACATTAAAACTCATGTCAAATTATCATATGAAAAATAATACTTTTCTCTACTACATTCAAATGTATCTTTAACACCAATGTCAAAACATTGGCAACGACTTCATCATTCATCCTTACAGCTTCTCTCAAGAATAATATTAGCATTGTGTAAGCATTTTTGACTGATAATCCAGAAGTAACAACAAATAGACTGCTCAGATTTATTTCAATGCTGTTCAGCTGCTAGGGGATTCCAATGGAGAAGGAACAATAAACAAATTCTACTTCTCCACAAACATTTATTATTAATGCACCATTAGATATTTACTGTAAGTGAAGAAAGTGATTTCTTGAAGACCAGGTAAATACGATAATAATTAATTTTTCTTGAGCAGATTTCAATGAAAAACACAATAAGAAACAGTTTACCAAAGCTGCTGCCAATCATTCAGCAAACATTTTGCTGACCCACCTACATTCTATTTAACTATTCTTTTTAAGCAGTTACTACTTTTTTAGAAAAAAGACTTGGTCCTGATTTGGCTGAGACATACAGACTAACAGAAAATGTCCAGTTTTCTGGTCAGAGCTAATTTTAATGGTGATTCATCTTTACACTCAGATTATAGAAATATTTTCTAGACAAGTGTGTAGATCACCGATTAATCCCATTTTTTTTTGTTTGCCTCATACAAATTGGATTCCATCCAATAAGTTTAGACCACAAGACATAGGTCGAGTGGCCTACTTCTGCTTCTATCGAGTCTGTTCTGCCATTCAATGAGATCATGGCTAATCCTCAAATCCAATTTCCTGTCTTTTCCCCACAACTCTTAATCTGTTTACAGATTAAAAATCTATCTCAGTTTTGAATACACTTCACAACCCATCAACTACAGCGCTCTGTGGGAAATAATTCCACAAATTCATTATCATGTAAGAAAGAATATTCCTCATCTCTGTCCTCACTAGGTAACCCTTTACTCCGGTATGCTACCCTCTGGTCCTAGATGCTCCCACAATGGGAAATAACCTCTCCACATCTATCCTGCCAAGCCCTCTAGCAATCTTGAATATTTCAATAAGGTCACCATTCATTCTTCTAAACTCCATTGAGTACAGGCCCAAAATACTTAACCTCTCCTTATAAAGCAATCATTCCATACCAGGTGAACTTTCTCTGAACTGCTTCTAATGCCAATATAACATTCCTTAGATAAGGGATCCAAAACTGTTTGCAGTATTCCAGCCATCATCAACTACTGCATCGCATAGATTTACGAAAACCCCTCTACTTTTATACTCCATTTCGTACAACTTGCATTTATAAAGCACCCATAACATAGCAGAATATTTACATCATTCAGAGGAGGGTGGCATTACTGGCTGGGCCAGCATTTATTGCCCATCCATGATTGCCCTCAAGAAGATGGTGGTGAGCTGCTTTCATGAATGTTAGTTACTTGGTCTAGAAAATAATGTCAGAGAGGCCATTTCAGGACATTGCCAGATAAATATATTTCCATTGTTTCAGTGTTGTTAAGTGAGAATGGCAAGTGTCTCAGAGGGGAACTTGCAGGAAGTGGTGTCCCCACGTATCTGCTGCTGTCGTCTTTCTAACTGGTAGTGGTCAATAGTTTGGAAAATGCTGTCTCAGAGAAACTGATGAATTTCTGCAATGCATTTTGCAGATGGTACACACTGCTGCTACTGGAACATCGGTGGAGGAGGGAGCGAATGTTTGTGGATGTGGTGCCAATCAAGGCTGCTTTGTCTTGGATGGTGTCATACTTTTTGAGAGTTGTTGGAGTTGCACTCATCCAGACAACTGGGGAATATTCCACTACACTCCTAATTTTTGCCTTGTAGATGGTAGACAGGTTTTGGTGAGTTACTTGATGCAGGATTCCCAGCCTATACTTGCTCTTTTAGCCAGAGAATATTTATGTCTCATCCAATCCAATTTCTGGTCACTGGTAATGTTGATTTTGGGGGCTTCATTGATAGTGGTGCCATTGAATGTCAGGGACAATGGTTTAATTGTTAGAGATGGTCATTGCATGCCACCTGTATGACACAAATGTTATTTGTCACTCATCAGCCCAAACTATCTACATCTTACTACATTTGGACACGGACCACTTCAGTATCTGTAAAGTCACAAATGGTGTTGAACACTGTCGTCGAAAGTGAACATCTCCACTTCTGACCTTATGATGGAGGGAAGGTAAATTGATGAATCAACTGAAGATGGTGTGTCATTGGACATTCTCCTGAGGAACTACTGCAGTGATGTGCTGGAGCTGAGATGACTGACCTCCAACATCCATAACCATCTTCCTTTGTTCTAGGTATGACTCCATCCGGCACAGAGTTTGCCTCTCATCCCTGATTCTCATTGGCTATAGTTTTGCTAGGGCACATTGATCCCATACTCGGTCAAATGCTGGCTCATTGTCAAGGGGAGTCATTCTCACCTCATCTTTCTGGTTCAGCTGTTTTGTCCATATTTGGACTGGGGTGTAAGTGGCCCTGGCAGAACCCAATCTGACTGTCAATAAGCAGATTACAGCTAAGCAAGTGTCACCTGATAGCACTTTTTTTAATCCACTCATGGGATGACGGCATTGCTGGTCAGGCCAGCATTTATTGCCCATCCCCAATCGCCCAGAAGGCAGTTAAGAATCAACCACTTTGCTGTGGGTCTGGAGTCACTTGCAGGCTTCTTGAGGTAAGGATGGCAGATTTCCCTTCCTAAAGGACGCTAGTGAGCCAATTGGGTTTTTCCTGACAATCGAATATGGTTTCAAGGTATGCATAAGACTCTTAAATCCAGACTTTTTTTTTCTTATTTAATTCAAATTCTACTATCTGCCATGGTGGGATTTGAACACAGGTCCCCAGAATGTTAGCCGAGTTTCTGGATTAATAGTCTAGCAATAATTCACTAGGCCATCGCCTCCCCAATACCACTAGGCCATCACCACCCTGTTGAAGACGATTTTACTGATTGTCTCCCTCTTCTCCAGCTCCCACATATCCCATCTGATGTTCTCCTCCAACCCCAGCCTGTCCCTGTCCTCAGTTTCCTCCAGGTGCCACCCATCTCAAGTTTCTCTTTACACACCTATATCCTATCCAAATTCTCTGATCACTGATTTCACATGTTTCCATTTCCATTGCAACTCTTCACCTATCAGTCACATGCTTCTTCCCCACATGGATGCCACACTTTCCTGACACAAGAGTTCACATTTTCTGGAGAAATGATGAAATGTGACAGCAGCAGGAAGGAGTAACACAACTTGGTTTAGCACAATCTCAAAAATCCACTCATCTCAGCAAATAATGAAATGGCATTCATTTGTTCATCCAGATAGCTTCAATTCATATGTTGTTTCCGCTTTGATACATGCTACCCAGCCAGTTTTAAAAGTAGGTATTTAGTAACCAAGCACTATACATGTACATTTAATAGATAACCCAAACTTCTTCACAAATCTGCAGGTCACAAAGCATGAGGCATCCATTGAGATTAAATCAGCTACTTCATCCAATGTACTTGTGTTATTCACATGGATATGATAAGCTGTGTTCACTGCGTATATATAACTTTTGTTAGCCTTTCTGGGCCATCCTGCTGCAGACTGAATCACAGGCTATTGAATGCTGCTGAGTAGGCAGCAATCTTAAACCTGGCTATAATCCAATGTTGGCAGCAAATACTCCACAGCCCCTCCTCCAACAAACCAAATCAGCTACAGGGGAATTTTCCCACATCCTAACCCAATCACAAATTTTGAGCAGTCTATCCTAGGATTCTGAGGCAGTATCTAAGTCCTCACTTCCAGACACACACCCCACCCCCAACTTTAAACCTGACCAGCTAAATAGGTCTTTGACTAAAGACCAGCTCCTCTAAGGGCAAACTTCCTCTCTCCCACAGTTACTGCTCCTTCAATCAATGCTCTTTCCATTCTTGCACCAGGTATCACACTTGCCTGCTGAAGATAGGGTGTAAAGGATGAGATAGAAAAGCTTATCATGTTCACTATCACAAGAAACAGCATTTATGACTCTGAGTACTGTTTCAGTCTTTGGCCAGAAAATCTGTCTGGAGAAATTTGTATATGGAATTGAGTGAATGTAGACAACGATTTGGGAGGCAACGAACACAATCAAGAATTTGAGAAAAGAAGGGTTAAGCGATGGGTGTTAGTTTACATGCACAAAGGAGTTAAGTAGCTGCATAAAATTTAATTTTATATATAGTTATGATGCCTATTATGATCTGAATTATGGCTGAATAGATACAAATCAAACTTTTAAATGCATGTTTTAACAAACTGTTCATCAAATGCTACTTATAACTTACAAATAAGTAGGACCTAGATTTCGTATCCACCAACACTCATTTTTGACATTTGAATGTCAAGATTTCCCTACCTGTAAGTGGAAATAAAGATAACGATTTGTGTCCAACAGCTCTGGATGCAGACTATTAATTAATGCAATGGCTTCTTGAATTTGTCCATTAAGTATCACCTCACGAATTTTAATACGTTCGTCAAGGGTGTCCAAGTCAACACTGGGTTCTATCCCTGATTCCACTCTAAATTTTTCTGCTGCTTCCTTAAATCCTTCTGAAAAAAATTATACATAAAAATATAATTGTATTAGCAGGTACATTGTAAATTATCCTGAAAATTTTTCACAAAATATTTTATTGTTCCTTAAGACTTCATGCGAACTGTAAAATCAAACTTTCACAGTTGTTCATTAAATTTAATCGACATCATACACAAATACACTTTGAAAGAATGTTTAACGTGAATATAATGTTTCTATACACATCCATCCGCTGCAGCACCATAAAGTACAAAACAAGACATGTGCTACTGACTGCATGATGTCCAACCTCACTTCCATGTCCCTTGCTAGTGCATCCATAGCCTGTCATATTTCTGTAATTTGAAACTACAATATCAAAGCATTTCTGATATGTCTACAATTAAGATTGAATTTAGCAGCTCTATCGAGATTCATGGTAACATTAGGTTTTTTCCCGCTCAATCTTAAATACCTCATTTCCTTTTCTTTCTTCTTGATGAATGTGGCCTTCAGTTTTAGCAGTTCATCCTGCCTAGACTACTGACTGATGTTATGCCCACACTTAATGCTACAAAAGGTATCACTGACCAGCCAAGAAAACTGCACAAATTTTAGTAAATTTGAAACAATAGCAACATTTATTTGTATGCCTAATCATTCTATCCCCTATAACATTCACCATATCTTGGCCCAGGCCCAATGTTAACTGCAAAACAAAATACCAAAGATGCATAAACTGAGATGCAGTACATATTCTGAATATTTAATCTTAAAACTTTGATTATGTTGCTATCATAAAATGCAGTTGGATTCACTGCAGATGACTGATTAGATAGAAAGATCTGGTTGTTGCAACCTTTCTATCAAAATAAAACGTAGCACAACACAAGTAGCTTTTACTATTGAGGTTTGGCAACCTCTGTAGAGAGTTAACATTCCTGGTCACTAACCTTTCTTAATAATTTCAAACTAATGAAGAGACACCTATCTTAAAAGGTAACTAAGCTTCTCTGTCCACAGATGCTGCCGGGTCTGCTGAACATTTCTGTCAACCACAGTACTTTACTCATGTGATTTCTACAGTTTATGGGCAGGGGTTAAGGCAAATTGGCATAAGTATGTCAAGAGTTTTCTCAATATTACATGTTTCTCCCGACAAAGTAATAGTTGCAAACATTTGCAGAATCAATAACTATTTTGCAGTACTCTGAAGGGCTGCAGCAAAAACTTTACAGTCACAAGCAATGTGTTTTAATTTGTTCCAACTTCTGATACCATTGATAGTCACAAAAGAAAAATAACAGCAATTATTGAACTACACCCTCAAGTCTTTGATAAAAATTGGTATGGCTGTGATATTTGAATGTTCACTCACTTAACTATAAATTTTCAATGTAAAAAAATCTTAATTTGATTGATCAATAAAGAAACAAACCTCAATTATTTTGATGTAGCTATCTCATATAAACACTCTAAAGTCCAATAATTTAGGGAATTATAGAAATACACTGCACAGGAGGTCTGTGCGTCTGGAAAAATTATCCGATTAGTCCCATTGAATCCCTACCGCCCCGTAATTTTTTCCTTCAATTTTTTCTCCAATTTCCTTTTGAAAATGAATATTGAATCTGCTTCTATCACTGCTTCAGGCAATGCATTCCAGTACATACCTTGGATCATTTAAAAGAAAAATTGTCTTGCCTCTAACTCTTTTGCCAAGTACCTTAGCTCTGATCAGTTACAAACCCCTCTGCCATTAGAAAAAGCTTCTCTCAAAAGTCAATCAAAACCCTTTAAGATTTTGAACATCTCCATCAAATTTCTCTTTATTCTGCTCCAAAGAGATCAATCCCAATTCTCTGGTCAATTCATAGACCTTAAGTCCCACATCCCTGGTGTAGTCTGACAAGGTGCATTCAGAACCTCTCGTGTCTCAAAATCTTTCCTGACTTCTGGTGCTCAGAATTGAATACAACTGAATACCAAGTGTGGCCCAAAGAGAGGTTTATAAAGATTTATGTGGTGAAGATTAGGGTTAAAGTTGTGAAATGCCTTTTGAAAGTCCATGACCACTTTCCCTTGAAGATTATATTATTTCGCTGATGATGAAAAATCATTTATAAATGTGTAATGTAATTCTATGCAGCATCCCACCCCTTAGTAAAATAAGAAAAATGTATTATTTTACACAGGATCTCTAAATCTGACATGTATTCATGATGCCACTATTTACAAATATTCCCCGGAAGCCATTCCAAACATAAGTAAGAAGCAAAGTACACTTGTGACCCTCAATAGTGCATTATATACAACTGGCATTGACAGTTAAACATAATTGTAAAATAAATACTTTTACACACACATTAGCCTTCCTCTTCATAAATTCTGACATATTACTACTTTATCCATTTTCATTGTTTGAAGCAGTTTATTTCAAATTAGCTTTGATCAAATATAAACCTTTACATGATCCAATTTCTTGTGAGGTCTCAAAACTAGGAAAATGAATCCACTTCAGATGAAGAGACAACACAGTATGGAGCTGGAGAAACACAGCAGGCCAGGCAGCATCAGAGGAGCAGGAAAGTCGACGTTTTGGGTTGGGATCTTCTTCAGAAATGGGGAGGGATAAGGGAGCTGGGAAATAAATAGAGAGGAGGGGTGGGGCTGGAAAAGTAGGTGGGATGGTGATAAGGGAGGGCAGGGAAGGAGTGGTGGTGATTGGTCTGTGGGTTGGGTGGGGCAGATAGGTGGGAGAGAAGATGGACAGGTTGGGTCAAGTCAAGGAGATGAGGATGAGTGGGAGGGTTGGACATGGGATGGACAAATACATCTGCGTTCTGTATGCAACAAACGACAACACCTTCCGGTCACCAACCATTTTAACTCCCTCTCTCATTCCCTGGGTGACATGTCCATCCTGGGCCTACACCAGCGTCACAATGACACCACCCGAAAACTGGAGGCACAACACTTCATATTTCACCTCGGATGCCTACAGCCCAATGGCCTAAACACGGAATTCACCAGTTTTAAAATCTCCCCAACCCCGGCCTCATCCCATGTCCAACCCTCCCTCTCATCCCCGCGTCCTTGACCTGACACAACCTGTCCATCTTCTCTCCCATCTATCCACCCCACACATCCCACTGACCAATCCCCACCACTCCCTCCCTGCCCTCACCTATCACCATCCCACCTACCTTCCCCAGCCCCACCCCTCCTCTCTCTATTTATTTCCCAGGCCCCTTCCCTCTCCCCATTTCTGAAGAAGGGTCCTGACCCGAAACGTCAACTTTCCTGCTCCTCTGATGCTGCCTGGCCTGCTGTGTTCTTCCAGCTCCATACTGTGTTGTCTCTGACTCCAGCAGCTGCAGTTCTTGCTACCACTTCAGATGAAGATACATTTTTGGCAAAACAGATTTGTTCATAAAATTCTGCCTGCAGAACAGGGCTCTTGATATTATCTATATTATATCTATGTTATCTTTTGTGTTAGTCTTACCAGTAACTAGATAATTCATTATAAGACGATTCATGTCAGCTCTTTGGATGTGCAAGTTATTGAGTTTTTCCATCCATTCATCTTTAGTAATTTCATCCGGTTTTTCTGTATAACTCATTGTGAAACAGCTACAGGACAAAGATAAAACACATAAATATGTTACTGAGGATCAATTAAAACATGACAAGGTAAACCTTAAAACTTCACAACTAATTATCAAAAACAAAATGGAAAACAAAGCAAGAATAAAAAATGACTTGCATTTACAGAGTGCCTTTCACAACCACAGGCAGACATGTGGTTTACAGTTAAAGAACTTGAGCATAGTCACTAATTTTGCCTCTCAACTGTATAAGTGCAAGTCCTGCAGCAACCATGATGTGGGTGCACAAGAGACAGTCAACATGAGGGTAAGATTCCTTTTAAGATGTATGCACGTATGGGTGCTCTGCAAGGATCACACTATGTGAAAATACCTCAGAAGTTACATTGGTAGTCATAATTTTAAAGCAGGAAATGTGACAGCTAATTTAAGGACAGCAAGCTGCAACACAGCAATAATACTGATATTGACCCAGTGAACAGAAAAGCTGTTTTTGTGATGTTGAAGAAGATTTTGATTTCCACAAAACAGTAATGTGGGACAGAAGTTCACCAAAAATCAATTAAGAGTCAAGTTCAGGCACTTTCATGAAGGGGGACTTCTCTTGTGAGCAATAGCTTTTTTCTCCAACATATTTCTCTGCTGCTCATCTGATTATGTATGCCCTATGCCTCTCTGGTGCTCCATTCATGTGACTATTGAGTGAGCAAAGACAGAAATATATACCACTACACTGACATCACGGTACCCTATTTAAAGTCAGTCATTCCAGCAGGTACAAAATAGGAGTTGCTCTTCAGTGCACATTGGAGGAGGGGAACAAAATATGAATGCTTTTGAGGGGGCCATGGGTGACTGTCATTTCTAACACAAGCTCACTTTCATATATGTATTACTATCTTACATCATTATCTGTCTTATCAACAATCACAGTAACTGCAGCTACAAGGTTCAGGTTCACTGTCCTCATGTCATACCACCTTAGAACCCTGTACAAAAGATTTCTACTTTCTGTGATACCCTGCGTAGCATTACATCTCCTCACTGTTCAAAGCCTTCAAATCGTTAAAAATATTCACTTTATCTAACAACAGCAAAGGTTAAGAAAAAAAAACAAACTAAAATAGAAGCTATGTTTGCTTCTGAGAATGGACAGAAACAATCTTTCGAGCAACTACAAACTTGCTGTCAATGATCACTGCACCCAGTTCAATTGGAACCAGGTGTTAATTAAGTCTTGTCTGGCTTGCTATGCCCAACTTTGCAGCACTCTATCATGCCAGGACAACAAGGTCCCACCAAACTGATCCATCAGGAGATCTATCGCCTGCTGCACAACGGCCCTGGTGGAAGAATGAGCTGAACTGCATCTATGCTCTGCCCCAGTCAAGAGGTTGTGTAATAGAGTCATTTGCCATGGCTGCAGAAGGCAGCCCTCGTCCCATTGTAACTACCCATGTGAGGAATTCAGCCCTTGAAACAAAGCAAGAACAAAAGGTATCGAGGATACAGGCATCATGTCAGCTCCTAGGGTACCTCATACAGACTTCTCAGATCACAGAACTATTGTGGTGCAGAAAGAGGTCAATTGGCCCATCATTCCTATAGCTGTACTACTAACTAGTATCAGTTGCATGTTTTTTTACCCCATATCTATTCACACCATCTACATAATATCCAAATAAACACCCAATGCCCTTTTGAATGCCTCAATTAACCTTGTCTCCACCACATTTCTAGGCAGTACATTCCATACCCTAACAATTTGCTGTGTGAAAAAGTTTTTTCTCACAAATCTTTGCATCATTTGCACATCCCTTAACCCGATACAGATAATCATTGATGACTTGTACATTGATGGAATGGAATCATTTTCCAGTCAGCTGCCTTATGATATAGTACTCTCAATGCATTGTGTGTATAGTCTATAGCACGCTGAACCTGGGGCAAGCTGGGTTGACAAAGCCTACTGCCTGCGCTGCAGCGCTGACTTCATCATGGGGATAAACCTGTGACATCTGCCATAAATTGCATTGGCAACAGTGTTAATAGATTTGTAGGTTGAAGGCTTTGAGATCCCACACAGGGTCTCATTGGGTATTTTTTTAAAGCAGCCAATCGCATTAATGTTTAGTACAACTGTCACTTTGGATGGCCACCCCACATCTCAGGTCACAGATCCCACACCAACTGTTGGCACAGTTCTGTGAGTGTCTCAGGATCTCCTCAGTCTGTGGCAACAATGCACCTCGCTCATCTAATGGAAACAGCACAGGATAATAGACTGCTTACTGCATGAGCTGCGGCACTGACCTCATCATGGAAAAATAAGATAAAGCTGTGTGATCTGCCACAAACTGCATTGCTAACAGGATGACCACCCACCCTTTCAGGCAACATATTCCACATCAGCAGCTGGCATACTTCGTAGCAGTGTCCTGGGACATCTTCAGTTTGTGGCAATACACCTTGTTCATCTGGAGGAAACAGCAGATGATGAAGAACCTGGAGCTTCTGCACCTCTCTGCATCCTGACAGGACCTTCAGCTGTGACTTCATAACGAGGCGGCTGTTTGGCAACCACAGGAGGTTCTTGTCACTATTGGAATTGCTGGCGCATCTGTTCCTCCTTCATTTATCTGCATCTTCATAACACTGCTGCCATAGCAATGATGACCTCTGCTGTGACTAGATCCATTGGATACACTTCCAATAAACCTATGATCACAAACAGATCAGGTTCTTAGCAATGTGAGCAGTCAGCACCACACCCAAATGGTGGGTTAGCATTGCATCAGAGTGGGACATGGAGTACTCCAACTGTGAGGGCCACAGAATGACTCTGCATGGATCTCTGACATAGGGGACCTGCTTCAAATGTATGCAAAGCAGCATATAATAGCACATTGGTGAATACTTACAGTTCAAGGTGAGACAGAAGTTGTGCAGGTTAGGTGGAGTAGCCATGGTAAATTGCCCCAGATAGTGTCCAGGGATGTGCAGGCTAGGTGGTTTAGCCATGTGTTACAGGGATAGGGTGGGATGCTGTTCAGAGGATTGGTGCAAATTCGATGGGCTGCATGGCCTTTTACTGCACTGTACGATTCTTTGATTCTATAATTAGCTTCATGCCCGATTTATTCAAATTCCCCTTGAAGGGCCTTATATCATTCATAAGTGGAGCACACCTTCTTGTGCAGTAAAAAACTATTTTGCCCATTTCAGCTGTGGTTGCATCTACTTTCCATTTCCATTGCATACTTACAGTTCATAAGAGGAAGGAAGGCAACTCAGGATTTGCTTGCCAGTGAGAGTTGTATGCTCGGCTGGTAATCAAGGAGTCTCACCAAAGCTCAACGTTTCTTTATTCCTGCACTCCCGGTTGACTTTCAACAATGCCCACTGTTGTTAATTTCACTTATGCTTTCATCTCCGAAAATTACCCCTTGAGTTCCAGTCCTGCAGTTGAGCCATGCCAACCGACATGCTGCACCATCCTGCCAAAGCCACAGTGGTTGTGACAGTCAATGACCAACCCATTCCCTCAGTAACTCATGCACTATTGTCTCACATCCCTTGTCTCCCATTATTGCACCTTCAGAATCCCAGCATGATGCCTCCAATCCCCATAACTGACTTCCCCAACTGCCCTATCATTGTAGTTGCTCCTTACATACCCCGCCATGAGTTGACCCCCAGGGCTGACTATGGCTCATCCCCAATTGAGTTGGACAATTAACCCCAGTGGATAAGTGACCAGACCTCTGACTGATCGCTGTGCCGTTCGCTCACTGACTGACAGTAAATCCCCAGTCTGGTTACACTGGACTGAATATATTATTCAGTTAGCTGAAGAAGGGTCCAGACCCGAAACGTCAGCTTTCCTGCTCCTCTGATGCCGCCTGACCTGCTGTGTTCATCCAGCTCCATACCTTGTTATCTCAGACTCAAGCATTGGCAGTTCCTACTATCTCGCATGGTCACAATAACACTTTTTGAAATTACGGAGTATAGTCAATCTTTGATTGTTATTCCACTCAAATGCAGAACTGGGCAAGACACTTGAATAAACATGTTAAAATTATATTTCCTCACATTCTTAAAGAGAATACACTTGAAAGGTTAAAATTTTCTTTCTCATTTCAAAGAAGTTTGGAGTTTATCAATATATACAGTAAAAGGGGAGGCATTAGTGCCATAGTAATGTCAGTAGACTAGTAAATCACAGTCTCAAATTAATGTTGTAGTGTCAGTGAGGTCTCCAGCACAGAAAAAGGCCCGTTAGCCGACTGAGTCTACACGAGTTGAAAACAAGCACCCAACTATTCTAATCCTATTTTCCCAGACTTCTTGGAGACATGGGTGCAAATCCTACAATGGCAGGCTGTGAAAATTGAATTCAATTAAAATCTTGAATTAAGAACTAATCTAATGATGACCATGCAATCACAGTCAATTGTTGTAAATACCCCATTTGGTTCATTAATGTTCTTTGGGGAAGCACATCTGCCATCTTTGTTTAGTCTGGCCTACATGTGACTCCAGACCAAGGTGGCTGACTCTTAACCCTGAAATGTCATAACAAGTTCAAAGGCAATAAGGGATGGACAATAAATGCTGGCCCATCTCATATCCCATGAATAAATAATTTTAAAAAAAGCAAAATACTGAATGTGCTGGAAATCTAAAATCTAAAATAGAAACAAGAGGAATCACTCAGGTCTGATAGCATGTGTGAAGACAGGGACTGAGTTAACTTTTGAGCTTGATGACCCTTCACTAGCTCCAATAAAGTCATGACAAAGGGTAAACCTGAAATGGTATAATTCTGTTTCTCTGTCCACAGATGCTGCCTGATTTGCTGAGTATTTTCAATGTTTACTGCTTGTAATTAACATGCAATATTCACAAGGAAATTAAAAATGCATTTGCTACTCCAAACCAAATCAGAATGCTACCATTAGAAATGATTTTTGCCCCAAAAAAAAAGAGAATATGTAGATATTTAGGCACAATCTGAAAATG